GGGTTATCTAAATTCATATCCTCAGGCACTTTTAATTTAGGACTTAGCCAAAGCCTAGGCAAGAAAATACAATCATGCAGTCAAAAGCCTTAAGTACCTACATGTTTAAGATGCAAAGATTTCTATACTTACGCTAATTATATATATATAATATATATATAATATATATAATATATATAATAATATATATAATATATATAATTATATATATATAAAAATATATATATATATTATGCATTTATTATACTAGCATAGTATGGCAACTTGAATTCTAGTTTCACTTGTACCAGAAGTGCCTGGTAAGGTGGCAGGACTAAGCAGCTCAGTGTCCGTCCTGGGCCAAAAGGGATTCTCAAACAAAGCACTTCCACCACTGCAGATCCACAGGACACTCCCTCAGCAATCACTGCTGAGCACACATGGAATCATCATTGAGCAATTAAACAATATCAAAAAAGGCTACAGCAACACAACAGCTTGGTGGTTACAGCATTTGCAAGGAAGGACCTCAATTCTATGTCCGCTTTGGCCTCACATCCTGATCTGTGGTGTCACAGGAAGGCATGCTAATGTGAAGTCTGTGCCCATCCCAAATCCAGAACCACATCCTGTACCAGGGTTCAGTTTCCACAGCTGGGGCATTCAGGTGATGAAAGAGACTCTGTTAGGCTATTGTTTCACTTTAAAATAGTGCTTACAGGATTTTTACAGTAAACTGTCATTGTGTAAAACCTTGAAAAATTCCTCAGAACAGAGCTATGTATCTGAGGAAACTTTTGCCATTGTTAAAGCACTTGGGGAAAAGACACACACAAGAAAAGGTTCATTCCCAGTTTCCTCAATAAAGCCCAATGCCATGATTTAGCACAGATAACAGGACAACAAATAGCTTATTTCACTCTGATGCTGTCTCTTAGTGCAGCGCAGTTCATTGTACCTGAGAAAATGGTGCTCACTGATGTGGCTGTGTTGTTACTAGGCAACCAGAGATAAAATGCAGGGGTTAATGATTTTTATTTAATGCATTTTTATGAGAAAGCCCACTCTCTTTTTCCCCTCTGCTGATATTATTTGAGGTGTAAATGCTATTTACACAAGAAGATATATTTAGCCATCCTCTGAGATCTGAACAAGAAAATTATTCAAACTGGATATTCAAGCAGCAAGTCAATAAATATTTCTAAACATATTGACCATTGCCACTATCAAACACACTGTGGCAATGGCTGAGATCACCAGGGACAAATATTCAGCAGGTCTCACAGCAGAGAACAAGAATGGCAAGAAAACATAACAGTCTAGGGACGACTGGGGTAGTTACACGTTTATGTTCTCCTCCACGGAAGAAAACAAGAGCCTAAGCCTATATCACCCTTCACCTTTCCTATGCTGTCATGACACCTACACCTGGCAAGGTCACACCATGTTTTTTCCTGTGGCTTTGGGTTGTCTCAATTCACTACAAAAAACAGTTGTCCCTGCAGGTGGGGGTCAGCTCATAGGAGCCTCTGTAGGGAGATGCACATTTTAAGAAGCATCCTACCAGTACAGGCACACATCCAGAAGGCCTCCCTGTAACTCCAAGCTGCTATGCAATTCATTTCCCACCACACAATTACACAGCTCTGTTGACAGGCCTGACACCAGTGACACCTGCTGAATTCAGCAGATATGACCTTCATTCAACAGCGTGTTGGTAATTTTACCACATATGTAACCCCACACAACCCCTCAGGTTTCCTAACATGACACGCTCTTCCTTTCATCCTTCACAAGGGCTGGTGGCCTGCATGTAAGTCCTGATCATCGAGTTCCTTTTATACCAGCTGATTTCCCAACTCTTCCGTCTTTGCAACAGGAACAGGAAAGTGTTTAATTGCTAAAAAGCAACTGGAAGCCTCAGGCTGAGTATGTGCATGAGGCCTCAGGTTCAAACAAAACTACAGCTCTGATGACATGTTTAACTTCTGCAAGTTCTGCAAGACGAAGCAAGCAGCAGAAGAACTCCTGCACCATTTTGCTTTTACATATAGATAAAGCCAAACTAACTGATGTTGTCAACACTGGATTATTTAACATTTTTCTCTGCAAAGGTTAACTTCCAAGTAACAGGAATCATGCAATTCAGTTGCACAAATCTTTGTGGTCCTTAATAATGTTGATCTTCAAATAAAAGTAGAAATTCCACTGGACCCAGCAGTTGGATTTGTCTCAGCATGTGTCTCAGCAGACATCCTTATTATCATGATGGAAGGTTCTACTCCCTCTTACTTAGATAAACAAAAGAAATGCATGTAACAGTCCAAAATATTTGTAAGCACCTCTTGCATTTCATTAGAAGATTACAATCAATGTATTTTTGATCCAAAAATGAGTACTGTACGGCTACTTCTGACCATTTGCCTATTCAAAATAAACAAGGCTGAAGGTCAAACACTTCCATCAGAAATTTGTTCTAGTGCAATTTTAAAAATCAGTAATTCTCCACTGTGTGTCCCAGACACAACCAGCAATTGTACAGCCTGACTCCCTCCTTCCTTAGAGGGCCTCTCTATGCACAGCCAGCCTTGCTCCTCACAATGCACAAAGGTTTTGAAGCAAACAATAGGTATCAGTTTGTGAGACTGAGAGCTGGGTTTTTTTGGTCTCTTATTTATTTTTTTTCTTATCCCCCACATGCAGGAACACTGCCAAGTTTTCCCATCTCTGAATTGTTACAAAAATTGTGTCTGTCTATACTTCATCTAAGGGTGTGTAAAACACCACACTAACTAAAACTAAAGAACAGCAGATTTAAGTAAAGAAAAGAGTGTTTTTCACTGTGTATGCATGTTATATTTCATAGCTTCTCAGGGTAACTTAGAAGGACAAGTTAACAATTGTGATTGATTTCCAGTGCACTTCCCACTTTCACCCACTTTCAGAGATACATAGAGATAGGTTTCCCAGTAGTTTATATTTCACTGGTATGGATTTTACTACGCCAAACGCCATTCCAGATTTTTATCAATGATCAGAAACTAATATAAATCTGAGGAAAGTGCCAGACTGAGAAACTACAATTCTGAAAATCCCAATTAATGACTGCAGGGCTCTGAAAACAAGTCTGACCTTTGGCTATTTTGACGGCAGGGAGCAGGACTGGCTTCAAATCTCTACTTCTAGAGACTAGGACTGTCTGCTTAAACTCAGTTAAATGCTCAGTCAGTGAAAAACAGAAACAGAGCGAGCAACAGATAACAGAATTTAGAAATCCCTGTTGTCAAGAGAGTATCTGCATTACTACCCTACACAAACATTTTTCTTCTTGAAACTGAAATTCAATGGAATTGAGATTTCACCCATCAGCCTTGAACAACATTAACTATGGAGTCAGGCAAAACTCAGATTTTCAGCTGCCTCAGTTTCCTAGTGCTGAGCTTAGACAGCTGACAATGCTCAGTACTGAGGAAGTAAGGGATACCATATTTCCTTTTGATTTCTGGGTTTAAACTCTTTATATCTAAACACAACATTCTGAATTCCACTTTTGGAAGAATGATGTGTAGAATTAAAGCCAATGATGCTCTGAATTTCTCCTAAATACTCAGTTATGTGTCTTCACCTGATTTGCCCATAAAAACCAGCATTGTGAAGTAATATTAATATGCCATCTTGCAAAAAGCTTGACTGTTTTTAAATGGTATTGAAAATACAAGACTCAGAGTGGACACAGTTCACAGTAGATCTACTAACGACTGTTAAGTGGAATTACAGAAAGAAGGATCTCACATAATAGTTGCTCACTGACAAGAAAATTCTACCTTATCATAAGTGGATAGAAGAGTAGAGACAGAGAGTGAGATGGAATGTAGGTGGAAGGCTTTGATCTACTTAAATTCTCTAAATGCCAGACTGAACAAGGTATGAAGGACAAGTGCCTAGAGGGAAAGATTCTTTATTTAATTTTTAAATAAAAAAATACTTTAAACTTTTCTTGAAAAAAGAAAGTGAAAATTCACTGTTGCTGCATAGTCACTGTAAGTCATGTGGCAAATACCATGGCATTTTTTGTCATTGTTCTGTAACACACAAAGTAATAACTCAAGCTCCCAAATGTATTATCCAGAGATGTTTATATAACAAATATATTTTCTAGATAACATTTTACAGACAAACAAACAGAAAACCCAAACCAGCCCCCAAACAAACCAGAAACCCTGAAGAAACACAAGCCTCTTCCAAATAGCATTTACTGAAAATAGTCTAGAAGAGTTTGTCTTAATCTTACTGACAAACCATATTTAGCTTTTCTTAGGTATAAAAAAAACTTACCAGAGAGCAAAAAAACAGCTAATAGAGCAGTCTGTCTTTTAGCTATTGCTATGCCTTAGCAACTCTCCAGCCACCAATATTTTTCCAGTGTAGGCTGTTCCACGTTTTTAAACATTATTGTTTCAGACAAGGAAAAAGGACAAAGAAATTGGAAGAACCTTCTAGATCAGCTAGTCCATTCTCTTTCTCAAGACTTAACCAAATGTCTGTATCTCACTCTGGAGTGATATTTATGTAATTTATTAAATTTTAGAGACTACAACTGTGATATCTCCATGATTTGCCTCATCTGTGTTGTTACGTACTTATTTTCAGAAGGCTTTTCATAAAGTCTTACGTGAATCTTCTCAAGTACACCCTGAACCTACTGTTTTCCTCTTTCATTCACATACTACTTTACTTAACAAACTGGAAGGCTGTTGCCATGTTTCCCTTTTAAAGGTTGATCACAGTGAACACGAAGTCCTGGTCAGGATCAAATGAACAGCAATAAACCAATTATAAATCACCAAAGCAGAGTAGAGCGTCAGGAGTAGGCAATCCAAGTAGACAAGTTAGACCACTGTCCCTATTATGAAATCCCCCAATGATCTGAAATCCCCCTACTCTGTTCCCAGAATACCATGCAAAACAAAGGGGTATGCTGACTACAAGAGGATAAAGCTTATTATGTTTCAATTCCCTACCTCTACCACAGTTGTCTTTGCAGCTTTGCACATAGGTTGGTTGAAGTTTCTTGCAGTTTTCCTGCAAAAGAAAAGAAAACTGATGAACTTTAAAAGCCATAATAGTACAATGAAAGACTTTTCAGAGATAAGTTACTACAAGTATGTCAATAGTATAAATATCACAAATCTTTTTGCCTAACAGCTTGAGAACTAATAAAAAAAACTAGGAGGAAGGAAAAAGTATTATGGAATTGTGTAAGATGCATCTGAAATTAAATCATATTTTGCCACATTAGAAAGTATTTATTACAGCTCTCTTGACTTTCAGTCAGCACACTGTTTAATTGAAACTGGGTATGGTACTGATATCTGCATTTATTAGATCCAAATGCAGCAGCAAGTTGGACTTTGTATAATGTGCCTTCCCATTTTTTTTACTTCACGAAGAATAAAATTCATCTCCACGGGGTGGGGGGGGGGCAGCACAGGGCTTAACAATCTCTCAAGTCCCCCATAGGCCTTCATAACTCAGATCAGGACTTGGGATAGCACTCTGCACAGCAAATGTAATCCAATTCTCTTGATCAAAAAAAACCCTGTGTGAGTTTTGGCCCTCACTGCAAGACTCTGGCATTGATCCTATGTATTCCAGCATTTCTGTATCAAGGAAGAAGAACCTCTAGACAAAAGCAACACATGACATGTATACCTCTGTTGGATCTGCACCAAGATCCTAGTAGGCACAAGGAGAAACATGCAACCTGTGTCAGCCGCTTTCTATACTTTTCAGAAACCAAACAAAACTGTTTGGTGTATTCAATAATTAAGAAAAGTTCTGTAGATTTTAGTGGTGTTAACTGCTAGCTTCTCAGCACTCTTCTCTTTTTAAAAAAGTAGAATTCCTGAAAAGTTTTCATCGAAATTCATGAAATCACAGTTCAACACAAGTCAAAATTTCCTTTCCCCCATCCTTTCTCCACTAAGCATTTTTTTCCCTAACCATACTTCATAGACTCAGAGAACCACTTAAGCTGGAAAAAAGTCCATAAGATGATCGAGTCCAACAGTTAACCTCCAACGTGTTTTCCTCCTTTCTCCTTCCCTTCCTGCAAGGAGCCAGTCACTCTGAACTTTGGGGAGGTGCTGCCACCTCGTGGCTTCGGAGGAGGTACGGAATGGAAACGGGCAAATCTTGAGACTTAACAGGCAGTGCTAACAGGATTTCTAATGCAGATATCTACACAACCAAAGCTATACCCAAAGACACATATCTCAGGGAAATGCTGTTTTACTGGCTTACACAGAAGCTGTGAAGCCTCTAACAAAAGTCCAACCGTGTCCTGGGGGGCATCAGGCAAAGCATTGCCTGCCGACTGAGGAAGGGGATTGTCTCGCTCTGCTCTGCACTGGGGCGGCCTCACCTTGAATACTGTAAGCAGTTCTGGGCATCACAATGTAAGAAATATATTAAGCCATTAGAGAGTGTCCAAAGAAGAGCAACGAAGATGATGAAGGGCCTTGAGGGGAAGCTTCAGTATGAGAAGGGGTTGAGGTCACTTGGTCTGTTCGGCCTGGAGGGGACTGAGGGGAGACCTCATTGCAGACCTTGTGAGGGGAAGAGGAGGGGCAGGTTCTGATCTCTTCTCGGTGGTGACCAGTGACAGGACTTGAGGGAAAGGTACGAAGCTGAGCTGAGGGAGGTTTAGGTTGGATATCAGAAAAAAAATTTTAACTCAGAGGGTGGTTGGGCACTGGAACAGGCTCCCCAGGGAAGTGGCCACAGCACGAAGGCTGACAGAATTCAAAAATGTTTGGACAATGCTCTCAGGCACATGGTGTGACTCCTGGAGTGTCCTATGCAGGGCCAGGAGTTGATTCTGTTGAGTCCCTTCCAACTTAGCATATTCTATGATTCTATGAACATCTTTTGTCCACGGATCTTCTTAGTGGCTATGTAAACCCAAAAGGAGGTAAGAATAGGAAAACAAACCAACCAAACACAACTTGCATTTCTCTCCTTCTCTGAGGGCATGAATACAATACTAGCTGGTAAGTGATTTAGGAAAAACTACCCTAATCAAAGTAGAGTAGCAAATTAGAAGAAGAACAGAGTTACAAAAGCCAAATTAAACTTGCAGGAAAATGGATACAGATGGGGAAAGCAGATGTAAAAACTAAGAATTCAGTATTTCATTTTTCTGAGCCAAAGCCTTTCACAAGATTGTAGTGCCTAGTCTTCCAGTAAAAAAAACTGATTTAAAATTATTTTTACATAGGGGAAAAATTAAAAGAAAACATTTCAATGTTAATGTAACATTACGAAGAGCTAATGGGCTCTATTCTGACACTATTTATAAAAGCTTCTGCCATTTAGAATGTTCTTGGGTTACTAAGTTGTTTCAGAAGCAGCAGTGTTTTACAGGATCAAAGGCCTTATTTCTATAGAATACATGATCCAGAAGTTTTATGGGATCAAAGGCTTTATTTCTAAAGAACACACCATCCAGAAGCTTTATGGGATCAAAGGCCTTATTTCTAAAGAGCACATCATGGAGGAGAAAAAACAGAAGCACTACACTTATTTTCCAACACCGAATAACGTTAAGGGGTTAGGAGTGAAATTCAGAAACTAGCTAGACAAAGTTGCCTTTTTTATTTTAAGATGCCTTTCTGGACATAAAGTCTCAGCAACGCCTACAATGTCTGTTTTCCAGTGATGGATTTCTCAGCTGACCCAAAGGCATAATCTCTTTTCTCCAGAGGCAAAAGACAGTAAACTACTTCATGGCAGATTAAACCAACAAACTATGTACCTAACGATACAGAGGTGAAGAGACACCTCAGGTATGAGCTGAATTTATGCACTGCAGAACCACCAGAAGCATGACGATCTGATATGACTGTGACCAGCACGGGCTCTGAGCATCCCTTCAACAGCTCTGTGCCTTTGTCAATAGCCTGTTTTCATCAGCACCAAGCCACACCTTTGCTTGTAAAGCAGAAGTATATTGAGCTAGAACAATGCCAAAGCATTGCAAAGAGAGGGGAACAAAAGGAGGTTCAAATATCATGGAGAGAAGTCAGTTTCCATGATATTTCAAAACTAACGGCAGTCAGGTGAAGTCCCAGGCACTGGAAAAAGGGAAACATTGTATCCATCTTTAAAAAGGGTAGAATGGAGGACCCTGGGAATGCTGACCTGTCAGCCTCACCTCTGTGCCTGGGAAGATCATGGACCAGATCCTTCTGGAAGCTGTGCTAAGGCACATGGAGGACAGAGAGGTGATTAGAGACAACCAGTTCAGTTTCACACAGACACTTTCTACCTGACCAACCCAGTGGCCTTCTGTGGTAGACTGACATCAGCGGAAGGGCTACTGATGTCATTTATCTGCACTTCTGTAAAGCCTTTTACATGGTTCCCCGTAACATCCTTCTCTCTAATTTAGAAAGTGATAGATTTGATTGCATGGACTCTTTGGTGGATGAGGACTTGGTTGGACAGTCGCATCCAGAGGGCAGTGGTCAATGGCTCAGAGCCCTGATGGACATCAGGGACAAATGGTGTCCCTTAAGGGTCCGTCTAGGACCAGTGTTACTCAATACCTTCATTAATGATATAGATGATGCACCCCTGAGCAAGTCTGCAGATGACATCAACCAAGTGGTGTAGTTAACGTACTTGAAAGATGGGATGCCATCCAGAAGGACCTGGACAGGCTTGAGGAGTGGGCCCATGGGAATCTCATGAGGTTTAATAAGACCAAGCACAAGGTGCTACACCTGCTTGCTACTTGCAGGGGTAACTCCTGGTATGAACAAAGGCTGGGGGATCAAGAGCAGCCCTGGTGAGAAGGACTTGGGGTGAGAGGCACTTGGGTGAGAGGCTGGACATGAACTGGCCATGTGCACTTAAAGCTCAGAAAGCCATTTGTGTGCTGGGTTGCGTCCAGAGTAGCGTGGGCAGGAGGATGAGAAGGGCAATTCTGCTCCTCTATTCTGCTCTGGTGAGACCCCACCTGGAGCACTGCATCCAGTTCTGGGGTTCCCAGTATGAGAAGGACCTGTTGGAGAGAGTCCAGAGGAGGCCACCAAGATGATTAGAGAAATGAAGCACTTGTCCTACAAGGAAAGGCTGAAAGAATTGGGATTGTTCAGACTGGAAAAGAGAAGGTTTCAGGGAAATCTAATTGTTGCCATCCAGTACTGGAAGGAAGCCTACAAGGAAGATGGGGAGGGACTTTTTACAAGGGCAGGCAGTGACAGGACAAAGAGAGTATTGGGTATCAGGGAGAAATTCTTTGCTGTGAGGGTGGTGAGGCACTGGAACAAGTTGCCCAGGGAAACTGTGGATACCCCATTCCTGGAAGTGTTCAAGGGCAAACTGAATGAAGCTCTGAGCAACCTGACTTAGGGACAGGTGTCCCTGGCTATGGCATGGGAGTTGGAATGAGATGATCTTTAAGATCCCTTCCAACCCAGGCCATTCTATGACTCTGTAATGATTATCCCCAAAAGCAGTGGCATTGCTTGCTGCTGTCTCTAGTGAGCAAAGCTCCAAGGGAGCTTAAGACCAGGAGACACTGTTCAGCTAAGTAGAACTAGTACCTACATCAGACTAACAAAGCAAAATGATTGTATATGGATCCTTTCAGTTATCACAGGAACAAGGTGAGACTATTTCACTATGTTTGAGGGAGTCCTCGATTATCTGTCTTACTAATAGTGTACTATACCTAAAAGTTATTATCTACTGGGCCAGACATAGGCTTCCTTGTTAGACAAAAGCTGTGGTAAGAATAGTCTACTCAGCATGAAGACGCCTGAAATGAAAGCAGCCACAACATGCTGTATGGAAGAGAAGATCTAGGGGACATGAAGTATCACGTTAAGAAAAAAAAAAAAAAACAGCTTAAAAAAGTGTTTTCTAAAGAAGTTGGTGCCATTCTGGATTCCCAAGAAAACAGCATAGCTTCATGTATGAGAATAGCCAAAAAAATTAATGCTGGCCTGTGGTCCAAGTTAAGTGTACCTAAAGTACATCTTTGGATTTAAAAAATCTCTTAGCTTGAGGGTGATTAACAGTTTGGCAGACACTTACTCCATAGCTATTGGCTCCACAGACACCAGTCACGGGAAACACACTATAAATAGTATGACATTGTTGGGAAAGTGGTGGCAGATGGCAGGCTATAAGATGAGCCTACGATTCTCTGTTCTAGGTCATCAGGTAATCTGCCTCTCATCCCGAAACAGAACGGGACACTGCTTATCATAAGCAAATTCTTTTAAGTTAGTAATATTCTCCAAGGAATAAGACACCAGATGATGATGTTTCCATCTTTGATTAGTTACACTTGAAAGGTGAAGTCAAGGTTTTTAGATCTTCACTCCAGATGGATGTAGTATCTGGTATTAACTGTATTGTATGAATGTGGTAGACACATGAAGACTTCTAAAAGAAATAGGAAGAAGGAAAGGGATAGAGACCAACAGGACATAAAGGAAGAGGAGTAAAAGGGAGAATGCAACCAGTCTGTTTCTGTGGAGAATTTCAGTATTTTTCAGAGGTAACTATGCATCACTGGATACAGGGTAAAAGCACAGACAGCAGTGGCTCAAGACCAAACAAAGAGAAGCCTAAGGAGAAAGAGCATTTCCTATAACCTGTGTACCAGAGCCTAAGGAAAGCAGTTTAACAGCCATCAAGTTCATGTGCATGCACACAAGAAAGTTCAGTTTTCAATCAGAAGCCATATTGACTTACTAGCGGGCAAGCCATGATGACAAGAGTTGGGCAAAATAAAAGCTTATTTATTAACGTTCAAGTATTTTAATTCAATATTATTATAAGATATATAGATAAAATTAATGTGAATACAAGTGTATGTATACTTAAATAAAGAAAAGCATTATTTTATGGATATTACTTTATACATATATTTTTCAGTTGCTTTTTCAATTCCTTGTTTGTTCTAATACATACGGACAGTGTTGTTCACAGTTTGCTTGTAGCAAACTGCAGTGATTGTAACACTTACCTTTTCATCTGATAGCCATAAGACAAACAAATAAAAACCAGGCATTAAACACAAGCAAACCTCTCCTGCTTCAGTTCAGGACAAACCAGAGCTTAAGCATAGTAACTCATATAAAAGATGTAATTACTAGTGCAACACTCAAACTTTTCATTGCAAAGATGTTTAAATTCATATGATGCCTCTCCCTACAACACTGAGATCAAATCAACTTTAAACACTGTTTTCTTTATACAGAATAATTTTTCCCATCACTGACTGGTCATGAGATTCAGTTCCCTTCTCTTTTGTCATATGTGAATGGATCAAACTTTAGTGCTCAAGGAATATGACCCAAACTAACATGAAAACTGAAAGGAATAGAAAGACACTAAATTTCTCAATAGTAATCATAATGACTTCAGTCTGCTGTGCCTCATTTTAAACCACCAATAGTTTATTTCACACCTACGTTTGAATACTCAAATGTCATTAGAAAAAGCAATTATATTTTGGTTTTTTATAGCAGTATAATTTGACAGTAGGGAAAGGCAACATGAAAGCAAAATCAGTAAAACATTTTTTTGCAATCACACAGGAGACAGGATTCTCCTTCTCTTTCATTATCTAAATCATAAAATAATCTTTTTCCACTGGTAAACAAGTCACACCTGAAAATGATGTTTCCTGCACGGTCAGCCTTCCATGCCTTCACAAGTGCAAAATCTCCTGTAATTGACTTCTCCAGAATAAAGTGACGGCCATCAAACTCTCGCACCTACAGAGAAAAGTACAAAACAGAGATGTATGTTTCTTCCAACGGATTTCTCATGTAACATTTATTTTATGGGGTTAATTTTACAGACTATTATATTTACACTTCTTTTTGTACTATATAAAGTTTTACCTGAAAAGCTGGGTAATAACAGAAAAGCATGGAAGGGCTGTAAACCCCCATTTTGTTATAGTGTCTCTAGTGAAACTGCATATTCCTTGTGAATTCATATTCTAGTGAATCCATATTCCTTGTGCTCCATCTACTGGATTTAGACATGCTTCTTCCTGCACGTCTACAAGCTAACCAAAAACTGAAGTGCTAAAGCAGAATTGTTGAGAAAGTTCATAATCACTGCCCAACTAGAAACCCCAAATATGAAATGAAGCGGATTTGAGACACAGTAGTCAAACCATGTCATCTGACAGGCTGAATTTAATTTGATTTTCCATGCATTTATGATCAATGAATGATACTGTGCCTGAAACCAAAATATGGAGTTGACTCACAGCTAGCCTTTAATCCTAAAGAAAGAGATGAAAAAGCATTTCTCTTAACAATGTAGGTAGGTAGAGTATACACAAATAGTACTTGAGAGCTTTTCAAAATTTCTGAAGGGGGAAGGAAGAATGACAAAAGGGTATGAGAAGTCAGTTTGTCAGTCCTGTAAAAGGAGATCTGAGCCTTTATAAAATGATACTTCCATGCAAAATGGATGCGGAGAATGGAATTGAACAAGTTATGCTCATCATGTTATTAGTCCCCCCCCAGTTATTAGACTGGGGAGACTAACACAGATTTTCCTACAAATGTCAAAAGGAAAACAAATGGAGAAAAACATTATTAAAATTATAAGCTATTTAATAAACAAAACATCCCTCCAAACGGTAAAACATCATAATGACATATGCAGTTAAAAAATTAAGGGAATAAAAGAGACCAAGTCAATGCCCAGATACTGCAAATAGTTGTGTATAAAATATGTGAAAATCATGGGCTAGGGTGGAAATACCTTTACCCCAGAGATGTACTCAAGGTAAAATTTAATACTGTATGCAGTCTACTTGGAACACACAGCACTAGCTCCATCCATTTTTTCAAGTATTGAGATATGTCCTCTTCTACAAATTCTATATCCGATTTCAAAATGAAGACCTTGTTTCTCACTTGAAAGCCACACTTTTTACTTCTTTGAAGTTTTAAATATTGAGACTAAATTGTATTTCAAATGTTGGGAAATTCAATTCCTGGAATTTCTGTCAACTGAGCTCTTCCCTGTTTAAAAGGAAAAAGTCCCGTTTCTTCTAAAGATAAAGCTCTGTGTGCAGCTGCAGGGCTGTTACTGCACAGTAGAGGATTTAAGGAGCACCTGCCCCTTAGCAACAGGAGGTTGTTCTCAGACCACTCTGCGCACTGCAGTGTACCTGGTACAAGAGTTTGTTTGAATACACAGTGAACTTGATCAGAGAAGAGTCAAGTGAAGGGTAACTCAGCAAAGCAGGCCTTCACCTGGACCAGTTCACCCTAAAGCTGTAAAACCTTTTCTAACACATCACAAAGGACAGAGGTAAGCAGTGGGAGCAAAACTGATGTGTCTGGTACCACTGATATTCAATTAATTCAATATAGCAAGGTTATACTTGGCTCTTGTTTATCTTGGAAATATGTCACAAATTCATTTTTCAAAGCTGAAGGCTTCCTAATGGCAAACAGACCTCTTACCTCTCTTGGCTGGCTGGCAATGGCAATGGTGCCATCTGTGTTGTACTTGATGGGTGCACCCCCTTCCTGCACCAGCGTCCCATAGCCAGTACTGGTGTAAAATGCTGGGATTCCTGCTCCTCCTGCTCTAATACGTTCAGCAAGTGTACCCTGTGGGAAGACATATTTAAGAACTCATCATCTGGGAACAATAAATCAAAATCTAATTAATGGCTTGAATTAATTTTATATCCTCTCATTTGGAGTTTTTCCTCCTGTTTTTAGCCAACAGATGTGATCATCTATTTCTCCCTCCCATTTTAGATCTCCTTTGTGGGATTGGTACTGGATATGGCAAGAAATGCTTGATGCATGGCCAAAAGCTGCTCAAGACCACACTGTCACACAGCTCTCCACCAATTACCAAGCCCCAGCACTTGGCTGTGCCTCCTCTCCCTCAACTTCTTTTACAATCCATTGTTCTGAGAAGAGTATAGTTCTTTTTCTCTTTCCCACCTGGCTATGTATCCTAGAAGGTTTTCTTTTCTGTGTAAGTCCTACATATTGATGTTTCATTCTTTAACATCTTAAGAAAAACTTCAGAACTCACTCCAAGCTGAAACAGCCAAGGAGGGCAGACTGAGAAAGAAAGAGGGAATCCAGTGATCTGGGTTGCCCGTGCCAAGAATACCAAGAAGTTGAAAGAGCTTCTTTATACTCTGACCATCCTGCCTGCACTCTGCTCTATATCCAGCTGTACTACAGATATTAACGGCACAAATTCCTCATCAGCCTTAGTTATGGACTTATGGCCAAAGATGTGTCTTCTTGTTTCCATTAATGTAATTTCCCAGATTTCTTTTTCTATTTTTCTGGACTCAAAACAAAACAAGATCATCACGGTCAATTATCCAGCTCCACATTTTCTTCAGTTATCCTGCAAGAAGCACAATGACCCCTGGTAGGTTTTCACAATGGTGGCACAAAATCCTCTGCATTTTCCTCAGTTATCATGTAAGAAGCACAATGACCCCTGGTAGGTTTTCAAAATGGTGGCAAGAGGCAGATGCAAACCATGCAAAGTCCTGTGTTCTAAGCAACCTTTGCATTACAAGATCTCACCGTGACCTCTCCCTTACTGTCTAATAAGGCACAACAGTCTCGCATTTTGCCCGAACTTACACCTAATTTTATACAACAGGTTATTTTATCTTGACACAAATATTTGAAATCCCCCCAGCTCCTAGCAAATCATTAATTTATGTTACTGTTTATCATCATACACTGTGGACCCATTATTTCCATGTTGGATCTACATAGCTTATCTGCACTCCACAAAGCCAATTTCATGTCTAAGGAGTTCAAGTTCTTGTAGATGAAATGACTGAACATTGCAAAGGAAGGAAAAAATGCCTTATGAGATTTGTGACTTTCGAAACATGGGAAGTGACAAGAGCCTGGTTATTTTCATGTCTGCTGACTGGGTATAAGAGCTTTTGCACTCATCTCAGGGATTCTAAGTAACATTCTCTTACAGTATACTTATAGGCAAACTCAGGAAGTGTGGATGAGTAGATGGTAAGGTGTACTGAGAACTGGCTGAATGGTAGATCCCAGAGGGTTGCAATCAGTGGCACAGAGTCTAGTTGGAGGCCTGTCATTAGCGGTGTCCCCGGGGTCCTATACTGGGCCCCAGAGTGTCGTCCAGCTCTCCAGAAGGACCACAACAGTTTGGAGAGATGGGCAAAATCTGAAATTCAACAAGGGAAAGTGCAGGATCCTGTAGCTGAAGAGGAATAACCCTGGGCACTGGTACACGCTTGGTGCTGACCTGCTGGAAAGCAGCTCTGCAGACAGCCCTGGGGGTCCTGGTGGACCACAAGCTGTCCATGAGCCAGCAGTGAGTCCCTGTGCCCAAGAAGGCCAATGGTATCATGGGGAGAATTAGTAAGAGAATTGGCAGCAAGACAGGGTAAGAGGTCCTGCCCCTCTGGTCAGCCTTAGTGAGGCCACATCTGGAATGCTGTGTCCAGTTCTGGGCTCCTCGGTACAAGTAAGACTTGGAGTTCCTACAACTGGTCTAGCAGAGGGCAACAAAGATGGTGAAGGGACTGGAGCATCTCTCTTATGAAGAAAGGCTGAGGGAGCTGGGCCTGTTCAGCCTCAAGAAGAGTCAACTGAGAGGGGACCTCATCAGTGTCTATAAGTATCTGAAGGGAAGGTGTCAAGAGGCAGATCCAGGTTCTTCTCAGTGGTGCCAAGAAATAAGACATGAGGCAATGGACAGAAACTGAGGTACAGGAAGTTCTACCTGAATATGAGGAAGAACTTCTTTACCATGCAGTGACCGTGCACTGGAACAGGTTGCCCAGAATGGCTGTCTCCCTCATGGAAAATATTCAAGAGCTGTCTGGATGCAATTCTGTGCCACGTGTTCTGGGATGACTCAGCTTAAGCAGGGAGGTTGGAGCAGATGACCTACTGTGATCCCTTCCAACCTGATCCATTCTAGGATTCTGTGATTCCCAAGAAATGGAGCCCAAGACACTCTTTTCAGTAAATACTTGAGACTGGTGAGACCCTTCCAACTCAGAACATTCTGTGATTCTGTGACTGCTGCTTTTCCCAGAAACTTATACAAATATGTGTTTAAAGCCCAAAGGCTTTGTGTCACCTCTTAAGATGTCACACACTAACATGCTGTATGCTTTAAAGTTAGAGCACCAATGTCCCAAAAGACCTCAAAAGAATGTTACCGCTACTGATGATTTTAGGATCTCATTGCATTTGGGCTATTTGAGTAGTTTAGCAGTGCAAAATTCAAACTAATTCAAACTATGGCACTAAAAATTAAAGTTGTAAATTGTCTCATAACACTATGCACAACACTGTCTCCTAACTTGACTCCTGCCCACTAGATGGCAGACACTGCACACGTGATGTGCCCAAACGATGCTACCACAATGGGAACAGAGCAGCTCCCTGGTTTCCTTCTCCTTATATGGTCCTCAGTAGTAGGAATAATTCATGTCTTTTTCTACAATCAGTAAGAAGCTGCCAAAAATAAAAGAGTGTTCAATAAAATATACACACATGTGGGTATCCATCTATATATATAAAAAACATATATATTTCAAATTAATACAAGGTAACAAGCCATAAAAGGAATTCACACAATACAACTGGTCAGTTCTTAACAGAGCAGTTGCAGCACACAATCCTAACGCATGGGCATGGCAAGGTTTTGGTAGCTACAGGGCTGGCTTCTGTGAGAAGACGCCAGAAGCTTCCCTCATGTCTGACAGAAACAGTGCCAATAATATATTAAACAAAGAACTTATTGCACAGATCCAAGTGCATCCAGAAAAGAGCGGAGTGAGAATGTGCTAGTGGAACATCTCTGTAGACACCAAGGTCAGTGCTCCAGGCAGAGATTTCCCTGCAGCCTGTGGTGCAGACCATGGTGAGGCAACTGTGCCCCTGAGGCCATAGAGGTCCACGGTGGACCAGAGATCCACCTACAGCCCCTGGAGGACCCCACACAGGAAGTTCCCCCATGACAAGCCCACACTGAAGCAGACTCCTGGGAAGACCTATGGCTGCATGGAGAGAGGAGACCCTTCTGGAGGTTTGCCAGCAGGACTTGTGAGCCTGTGGGGTACCCACAGTCCTGAAGGACTGCATGCCGTAGAAGGGACCTGTGCTGGTGCAGTTTGTCCCTCAAGGACTGTACCCCATGGAAGGGACTCAACACTGGAGCAGTTTGTGAAGAACTGCAGCCTGTGAAAAGGACTCACATTGGAGAGGTTTGTGAAGGACTGTCTCCCGTGGGAGGGACCCCACACTGGAGCAGGGGAAGAGTGTGAGGAGCTCCCTGAGGAGGAAGGAGTGGCAGAGACAATGTGTGATGAACTGACCACAACCTCTACTCCCTCCTTGCCCTGCACTGCTGGAAGGGAGGAGGTAAATTGTGAATGAAGTTACAGCTGGAAAGAGGAGTGGAGTGGAGGGTTTAAGATTTGGCTTTATTTCTCATTATCTTACTCTAATTTGATTGGCAATAAACTAAACTGATTTCCCCAAGTCAAGTCTGTCGTGCCCATGACAGTAACTGGTGAGTGATCTCTCCCTGTCCTTATCCCAACCCATGAGCCCTTTGCTATATTTTCTCTCCCCTGTCCAGCTGAGGAGAGTGACGGTGTGGTGGGTATCTGGGGTCCAGTCGGGGTCAACCCACCATAGATGGTAAGATCCACTTGCACACAGGTAAAACACTTGGATTACAAAATAATTTTATAAGAATAAATATATTTAAATATATAAATATAAAAATAAATTTATAAGAATAATTTTTACGCATTAGTCTACTCAGTATTTTAGATTAAAACAAATCACCAGTCTCTTAGACACTCCTTACCTGTGGTGTAAGCTCAACTTCAAGCTCACCAGACAAATACTGGCGTTCAAATTCAGCGTTCTCTCCAACATAGGATGACACCATGCGTTTTATCTGCTTAGTCTGAAGCAGAAGACCAAGTCCAAAATTGTCAACACTGCACAGAAAAAGCCAGACAATAGAGTTTTGTTGTAAACAAAGCACCTGATAAGCTTTAATGATTTAACAAGAAAGAACAAAGTTATCTACCCACACTAGGCATAAGGAATTGAAGACAAAAATCAAATTCTAGCTTCTAGAGGGGGAAACATCAAAGCTATAATTAAAATTTTTGATTCCAGTGTTTGGACCTCATCACTTTCCAGGTACAGAATACATCCAAAACTTTCTTTTAAAGACATTTCACATATTAACAGCTACAATAACAGCTGGACAAGTGGTGCTATTTTACACATCTGCTCCTTTAAAAAGTCTTACCAATTAATAAAATGTCATACACGGCTTTGAGTGAACAAAGATATATCTTTGTTTGCACTCCTGCTCCCCAGAAATAAGGGAAGTGATTGCTTAACAGTTCAAGGAGAAAGCCACACTCACATTTATAGTGCTAATTTGTATATGAGGTAACAGTATTTGTACAAATTTTCTTATTATAGTAAATAATTTAATTTCTTACTAAGAAACTGCCTACTCCAACAGGGTTTTAGCACTGCAGTCAAGGTTTTCTTATCTGTGTCAGCTTAAAATGAATGCCAAAGACAACATGTGCCAGTGCTTCTAAAATTTTGACATCCTTTGTGATTTTTGTCAACCTGTATTGTGTACGAATGGAATAGGAACATATTTCAAGAGTTCCTGCAACAAAGGTGCTCTGTAAAAAAGGCTACTTCAATTTGAGGAAATATGAGGTTAAAATATAAAAATGGAAATAAACCTAGACAATATTGTAAAGGCATGTTTCTATCACATTTCCAACACATTATGCAGGATGGCAGCAGACTGGTACATCTCTGCAGAACTCCTCTGTGTTTATGCTGATTTCTGCAACTTACAAGCAGAGAACTCAGGACTTCCACTCCCCCTATGGGAAAGATGCCATGATCCAGACATACCTCACCAACAGTGATGTATATCTACCACTAGTTGGCTTAGTTCAATTTAAACTTAGTGATCCACACACTGGCTTGAGATTTCAGGATAAGAAATACTGAAAAGTATTACAATAATCCTTTAAGATATCCAGTATTCAGCATGCTGTAATTAACACACACGTGCTTACAATAGATGCATCCTGCTGAAAACACTGCCAAAGGAAAGCTCCAAAAGGGACCGGATTAAAAAAACTTTATTATTATGCATTAATAATAAATAAATAAATAAAAAGCATTCACTTTCAAATATAACAGTGGTAATGCTTTGCCAGTGCTGGCGTCCCACACACAGCCTGCAGTGCTGCAGGTGAAATGAGAGGGGCTGAGTGAGCAGGGCCAGCACCAGCTCTCCACCTCCAACCACAACACTCTCAACAGCTGCATGGACAGACATGGACGTGCAGTCAGAAGGACTGTGCAGCTGCATGCATAAAGAGCACTGTTTTAAGGTTAGGACTATTTTAAGAAGATGGCCCACTTCATATGCATACCCAGGCATTTTGGAAACTGCGCGAGAGGAAGTGAAACAAGCTTCTCTGATCTGGTTCTCTGAATTTATTCTATGTTCTCTAGATAAATGAGAATGTATAAGTAAAAATATTATCAAAGCTTGCTCCACTCTCCAACTCTGACCTACTAAAAAGAATTAAAAATCTAATTCTGATGCAACTTCAAAAATGTTGTGGTGCCAAAGCCTTGAGAATAAAATCTGTGTTGCCTGGAAACAACCTGTATTTTTATAACTTCCCACAGGAAAAAAATCTAGCAGTTTGAAACTGAAAGAGCTGGGAATAGAATAGAAAGTCTTGTGGGCAAAAGGGATTAAAAAAGAGAACAAAAATAAAATGCCATAATTTCCTGTACAGATGCATTCAAATCAGGACAATTCCCCTCAAAGGAAAACTACTAAACCCTGACTTCTCATTATAAAAGGCAGTAAGCAAATACAACAAATTAGCCAACATCTGATGACAGTTTAATGGGTTGGTACAACTAAAGTACAACTAAGTGTAGTAAAAGTACAGAGAATTTAAACAAAACTGCAAAGTGCTGTCTAGCACAAGAACAAGGAGCAGCTTGACCTGCTTGCAAACCAGTTTGAAACTTCTGTGTATCATCTGGGTGGTTAACACCACCTATCATTGCAAAACTTGCAAGTTACCAAGCAGAAAGAAGCAGACACAAGACGGTGTGCAGACAATGAAATTCTGAGTGCGCTTTCACATGAGAAAGGATGGCAACATGAGAGGGTAAGGGGTAGATCTGTAATGGTTGAAGAAACTTCCGCCTCATTTCCCTAAGATCCATAATCCTTCCTCCTACGTTCTCAGAAGCAGCTACTGGAACACACTGTCCTTAGCAGGATTTGCATACGATCCTGCAGGATCCCATGCAGGATCCAATATGGATACACTTGATTCCCCAATCTACTATTAAGAGGTATCTTCTCTCAAATAAAACAAAGAAATTAAGTACAAAATTACCCAAAAGTTATTCTCTGTCAGTCATGCCAGGTAGTTCTTCAATTAAGTCACTTTTTCTTCTTCCCTCAAACACAGTCAATTCATTCAAAATCAAAATTGCTGCAAGGATCTGTCACTGAGCACACAGGTCTTACAAGAATCTTATTTCCCTACGCCAAGAGAATAAGAATTTAACCTTTCAAGTCATGCACCAGGAGTCTCTGCCTGCCTGATAACACCAAATTACTTCAGCTCTCATATACACTTAATCTTTAGAGTAGCATCACAAAATCCTGTTGCTGTTACTCACGTTTATTTTAGATGTAGATTTCTTTAAAGAAACATATAATTGCCCATCTTTTTTTTTAAGGATGCAACTCCATTCAGGTTTCCAGCTAAAATAACTCTTTTGTTTTGCACATACATCAGTTTTCATCTCCCTCCAAAACCTCATTTTAAGCATTTCAATCCATTTTATGTTCCCTTTGTTTTTCTCTTACATTTGAATGTTCTAGGAAACCAATGCTGCACACATAAAATGGTGTTCTCACTCCTATTCTCCCTACCCTTTGCTTGTCATTTAACATCTCTATCTTAGATCAAAGTAAAAAAATTCTTGTCTGGGGAAATTTCCTTCAATATAACACTTTTATGGCCATTTCAAGTTACTTGTTCTCCCTTCTCATATTTTGCTGCTTTCTTGGTTGTGTTGTTTCAGGTACAAAAGGTTTTTTTAACTTTTTAGCTTAAATTATTTTTATGCTGAAAGTGTTACCCCTAAAATATTTGTCTTTCAGGCAATGTTCTCCCTATCAAACCATAAAAACAAAAATAGAGCTTTTACTGAGTGAATGAAAAGAATCTATCCTATATCTCTATTTAAAAAGCTGGATTCAGTCCTTTAAAAATTTAAACAAAGGTGAGTACAATAAAAATGTGTTGCCCTAGATGGGAAGGAAGGTGGCATGGTGGAAGCTGACATAGTTGTTATGTGTGCTGCCGGAAAAGGGAAAGTACACAGTAGTGCTAGACAGAGAACGCCTTCTTCTGCCTTCAAAATTGTTAAGATTTCTAGAAGTTTCCCTGTTCTGTATTAGGATGAAACGTAAATCAACAGAATACATGGAACACATATAAAAAAGGCACTCATCAAGGATGTAGGTGACCCAAGTTCCCCATTTCTACTGATGCAGATAAGAAAAATTACAGAAGTCTGGCTGTTAAGGAATATTTCTTCCTATTGTTTTGTCTCTCTCATACCTACAAAACCTTCCTGTCAAAAACTAATGCCTGTCCTTTTCTAATTAAAAAAACTAGCCAAAGATGACTTCAAAGACCTAGCCCACATACCTCCAGTATACTGGAAGTCAAAGGCAACATGTTGATGTTTCACTGCAGATAAACAATAATCTGCAGCCCTCAGACCCTTTTGTCTGGTGGCTCAAGCAAAACACGTTCTACAACAACACAGGGAAGAAGATTACCTAAATTTCCAAGCTGATAAAAGCCTCATATGTGAACAAGCCCTACACAGCTTGATGAAGCAGCGGATAGAAAACTGCATTCTCCGGCACAAAAAAAGGATCCTTGGAATGTCACACTGTGGCATGAGATGTACGATTGCTTTTGTTTGGGGTTTTTTTGGAGTAGAAGGAGATCATTACAGCTCTCCTCTCTCTCTGCCTCAGTGAAGACAGTTATGTGTCTTAAAAAAGTGGGGGTGGTCAGAACAGACTGGCTCCCCTCACTGGAAGGTAAGCAGCATCAATTAGCATGAGGACTTCCTTCTGCATCTCTTAAAGCGATGTGTTCCTCTACAGTCACTATTCAAAGATTCTCCAGAACCTGAGACAGTATATTCCCGGGAGATCCTGCAAGGCCAAAAGTTGTTGGTTATGAAAGATTACCATGAGTATCTTGAGTTTTGGAGATTTAAAACATGTTCACCAATGAGAAGCTAACATGATACCCTACCTAACCTTTCTCCTCTCATAATTTGGGGACTGGAAAGATGGGAGGGTAACTCCATCATCCCTGAAGACTACAACATTGTGAAAGAAAAGCATGCAATATGAATCCTGGGGTAAGACTCCACCTCAGGTAGAAACTAGTGTTTCCTGCAACTAGCTGTTGCTACGGAGACAAAGCATATTAATGGTTAGTCCTATTCCTGGGGAAAGCTTTATGTAAAGCCATTAGTCAGCTTCTGGAGTTAGATCACCAGTCTCTGCAGCCATTCAGCAAGTCCAAGTGTTGCATAATGAAGCAACACTTGACACTTGATAACAGATGGACTTGATCCAGAGCTAGAAATCTTCTTGGCAATAGGCTAGGAAACAGTCTCCTCCATCATTCTCCATGTAGAAGAGGCTGTTTTTCTTTGTAAACATCAGCTTTTTAGTCTTCAAAGATCTCCAAGTGACATGCAATTATGCCTTCAGATAGATCCACAATTCCTAAGGAAGATCAGATATACCCCCCAACTAAAAGGAATGCATGAATCACTTTGTGTTTCTTAGGAACACAATCTTAAGCTTTCAGGT